AAATTCACCCGTGAAACCATCTGGTCCTGGAGCTTTCTTGGTTTTTAATTGTTTTATAGCCTTGTCTATTTCTTGTACTGATAAGGGTCTGTTGAGGCCTTTGATGGCCATTGGGAATAATCTGGGGAGGGATTATTTTTCCAAGAATTCATCCATGTCTTCCAAGTTTTTTAATTCATTGGAGTACAGTCCTTCATAGTACTGTTTAATTATCCTTTTGATTTCACTATGGTCTGTTGTAATATTCCCTTTTTCATCCCTTATCCTTGCCATTGAAATTCATCCCTTCCTTTCTTTGGTCAAATTCGTGAGAGGTCTGTCCATTCAATTTATCCATTCGAAAAACCAACTTTTAGCAGCATTGATTTTTTTTCTATAGTTTTCTTATTTTCTCTCTCCTGAATCTAAGATATAATTCTTATTATTTCTTTTCTTTTTCTATTAGTTGGATTTTCTTGCTGACTCTGCTCTAGCTGCTGTAAATTTTGTGTCAGTGTATCAATCATATTCCTCTCCTTTTTTTGTGCATGTAATGCTATGAGACTACCTCTGATGACTGCCGTTGCTGTGTCCCATAGTTTTGGTATGTCGTGTTTTCATTCTCGTTGATTTCTAGAAATTTCCTAATCTCATCTTTGATCTGAGACAGTACGCTCTCCTTTTGCAGTAGTTATTCATTCTCCAATGGTTTGTCCTTACTTTCTTTATCTTCCTTTGGTCTATTTCCTATCCTATGGCACAGTGGTCAGAGAGAGAGGTCTGTATGATATCAATGTGCTTCAATTTATGTAGATTTGACTTATGCACTAGCATGTGGTCTATTTTAGAAAATGTGCCATGTGGAGCAGAATAGAATGTGAATTCCTTTTTGTTTGGGTGGAGAGCTCTGTAGATATCTATCAGGTCACATTGTCTAATTGTAGTGTTTAGATCTCGAGTCTCCTTGTTGAGTTTCTTCTGAGTGATCTGTCTTTCTCAGAGAGTGGTGTATTGAAATCACCTACTATAATTGTTGAGGCTGTGATTTTTTTTTCATCCTTTGAAGTGTTTGCTGTACTCCAATGAATTAAAAAACTTGGAAGACATGGATGAATTCTTGGAAAAATAATCCCTCCCCAGATTATCCCCAATGGCCATCAAAGACCTCAACAGACCCTTATCAGTACAAGAAATAGACAAGGCTATAAAAGAATTAAAAACCAAGAAAGCTCCAGGACCAGATGGTTTCACGGGTGAATTTTATCAAACAAATTCTGCTGGATGCTTATTTGGTGAGTAAATGTTTAGAATGCTTATTGGTTCTTTATGTACTGTTCCCTTGAGCCCATCCTTATCTCTTTTTATGGTTTGCACTTGGAGGTCAATTTTATCTGAGATTAGGATTGCAACCCCTGCTTTTTTAATTAGAGCTTGACTGATAATGTCTCCATCCTTTGATTCTCAGCCTGTTTTTATCTGTAATGTTGAGATGTGTTTCCTGTAGGCAGCAGATTGAGGATTTGTGTTTTTCAAGCCTGTCTATTAGTTTCTGTCTCTTAAGGTCTGAGTTCACCCCATTTATATTCAGGGTTATTACATCTATCTGTGGACCCTGTGATGTCATTTTATCTCTCATGTTGGGTGTTTTCCTACCTCCATTTCTTTTCCGTGGATTGTCCATATGTGTGTTTGTGGTTCATTATTGCCTTCTTTCCATCGTTGTGCCAGTTTTATCTTCAGGGCTGTTTTCCCTTTGATGGTCTCTGGGTGGAGTTGTTCTGTGTGGTGGTCTCTTGTATGCGCTTGGTGAGTGTTGTTCTGCCCATACTGGGTCAGCGAGGATCTTTGTAGTGCTGGGCTCCTTTTAGCATATTCTTTGAGGCTTTCCTTGTCCGGGAAGACTCGCACTTCTCCATCTATTTTGATAGATATTTTGGCAGGATAGAATATTCTTGGGTTTGCATTAATTTCCTGCAATTTTTGGAATATGCTGCTCCACTGTCTCCTCTTCATAGTGTCTGTTGACAGGTCTGAGCATATTCTTATCTGTTTGCCTTTATATGTGGTTGCCTGTTTTTCTCTAACTGCTCTCATAATCCTCTCCTTTTCCTCATAGCTGGATAGTTTAACAACTATATATCTTGGTGACTTCTTCTGGGGATGAAGTTTAGCTGGCATTCTTTTAGCCTCCTGGATAGTTTCTTGGTTTTCGTTCATTAAGTTAGGAAAGTTTTCTTCCAAGCATCCCATCACTATTTTGGATGTTGGTTTCCTTGATGTGGATTCTTCCTCCACGCCGATAATTCTGAGGTTGTTCCTTCTCATAGCGTCAGACATAGCTCTGGGGTTTTCTTCAGCTTCTCTGATGGGCTTGTTAGACTTTTTCTCACGTTTATTAATTTCTGCTTGCGAATCCTCTAGGTCACTGCTGCGGCTCTCAGCCTCCTCCATTCTCTGGGTGAAGTCCGTGAGTTTGCTGTTAGTTTTTGTTATCTCATCCTTTAACTCCTGTATTTCCTTTTGGTGCATAGCCTTTAGTTCCTCTATCATTTCATCCTTTTTCTGTAATGCTTCCCTCATGTCCTGTATGGCTCCAAGCAGCATTCTGAAGATTTATTTCTGTGGGGGTCCACCTCTGCCCTTTCTATGACTGCTGATAGGTCCAGGTGGTCCTCAGGCATTGCAATTGGTTTCTCTTTCCTTGTTGAAGCTGTGGAAGCAGCTTGCTGTTCAATTTGTGGGCACTTGGTGCCATTTTCCTGGGTGTCTCAGAGCCCTGAGCTCTCTTTGGGGGGTTGGTGCTTTAGCTGGCTACCTTTAGCCAACTGCCTTGGGGGGTTGTGCATCTCCTCTGTCCTGCTGGGGATTCCCTCTCACCTTCTCCTATGGTTTGCTTGAGCCTCCTTCAGGTCGCCTTAGGGGTTATTTGCAGCTGTGCCAGCTGTGGTTTGATAGAAAGTATTGGCCCCAGTGCAGGGGAGCATATTTAGGGGATGGGTTGAGTATTGGGTGATCTGTTTCTGGCTAGGGGCACTTCCCTCAGGTAGGCAGGTGGAAGGGGGGCCGTGACTGGTGTGCAAATGCACCACTTGGAGCCCAAAGGGTAGGACAGAGTGAGAAGGGAGAATGCAGTGATAAAGCCCCCAAAACGTGGGTTCTTATGCCACATCTGCAGAAAGTTGTGCCAGCCTTGGATCCTCTGCCTGGCCTGCCAGCAGCGATATAGCAGGATGCAGATCACTGAGTGCGTGTGTGTCCCCGCACGCGCATGCATGGGTATGCGCGTGTATAAGGGAGCGGGTGGGCGGGGAGGCCCAGGGAGGGGGCTGGCTGGCAGATCTGCAAGGAGCACGGTGATGGGGCACGCTCCTCTGGGCAGAGACCTCTGAGCGTGCGGGAAGGTCTGATTGGCAGTTTGCGTGGAGCTGAGGCAGGTCCTCTGACTCTGCTTTCCGCCTGGGTGTGGCGCCGGGCGTGCACCTCTGGGGAGAAGGGGAGAGGTTCTGACCTGCTGGACCGCGAGGGGTGCCCGAATCTGCAGGGTGTGTGTGTGGGGGGGGTTGCTGGTTGGAGCACACATACAGGCCTGGGGCTTCCTGTGGCGGGTTGGGGGGTTCCTGACTGGCAGTTTTGCACAGAGCGCTTGAAGCGGGCTCCCGCAGCTTCGGCGGTGCACCTAGTTGCCTTGTGGCACAGGTCCCGACAGAGCGGGTGCATGGAGCGCCGCACCTGAGACCACGGGTGTTTGCGCGGAGCCCTGGCTATGGGTGGGAGTACACATCTGGGTCCGAGAGATGCTCTGAGTGGTCTTGGGAATCGAACAGACACATTTGCTATGCCTGCTATGCTCCCAACTCTCCCCACTCACCTATCTCCTCGGAGCTCCCGGTGTGAGCTACTTATCTGGCAGCCATCTTCCCCGTCGCCCCGGCTTTACATTTTTATCTGACCCTTTTCTCTCCGAATCTCATGCTTCTATTACTCAAGCTAACAAGCCATCGGCACCCCAGTTGCTCCAACCTCCTCCTGGATTAGAAGCTAGTTCAGGTCCTTGAGGCCATGAGTCAGTGCAAGCATATCTCAGGGGCTGGGACTGAAAACAATTTAAAACAGAAATGGTTTCTGTCATCAGCAACCCTACTTCTTTATTCTCATGGGGGGAAACTGCTTACCTTCAACTGCAGAGAAATGTTACATCAATAGATCACTTGTCTTAGAGAAGACTACTCAGAATTTGTTCGGAAATGCATGAATTACAAAGAACTGCAGAAAAAGCCTTAATGCTATTATGAGCAAAGAATTCTATAAACACTGGGCATTTTGTTGTTTGCAGCACAATTTATTATCAGGTCATAGTATCTGGGTACATTAATAGGTACTGAATACATAACTTCTCAACTTCTCTTGAGATTGAACAACCAAACATGGGGGGGAGAAGTCAAATGTGCAAGAGAGCAATAAATATCAAACTTTCTGATCCAAAATGTATAAATATAAAATATCAGTCATTTCTGAAAACAGCTTAAGAAAATCCGGCAACCACCTGTCCACGGGTAGGTGTCTGGAACTGACAGTGCTAATCTTCCGAGCATATCACCTGAGATCCAGCATAATTACGTTTATGTCTTTTACCAGCACATGTTTGCATATCTAGGAAAGAAACAAAAATTGTTTGACATCATCATACGTAACATCATTCTATGTAGAAAGGGCCTCTTGACTTTCCTTATTTAAAAGGTTATTTCTTCCAGAAGAACATACAAGTCAGGTTTGTTCATTTTCAATAGCAAAATATTTACAGAGGCTGCAAAATAATGATTCTTATTTAAAATGAATTCTGGCAAAGTAATTTTTTTTGTGTGGCCACAGAACTGCTGGGGGTGGGTGGGGTGGTGGTGGGGTGGGAATTGAAGATAAGGTCCAATATAGAGCTAATCAAGAAGTATGGTCAGTTTTTATTGAATTGTTCTGGGGAAAAAAACCAATCTGGTCATATTGTACAAAAACCGTTTCTAAGATACTTGACATTTTCTTTAGCAATTGCCTACTTTGCTCATTCACTGCCATTAAGGTGATACTGACTCACAGTAACCCTATAGGATAAAGTGGAACTGCCCCTGTAGGTTTCTGAGACGGTCACTCTTTATGGAAGTAGAAAGCCTTGTCTTTCTCCCAGGGAGAAGCCAGTTCTGAATTGCTGACCTCTGGTTAAGCAGCCTGACATGGAACCACTATGCCAGGGCTCGTACTTAGCCTGATGACAACTTATTTGAAATATCACATAGACATTCGAATGGAAAGGTAACTTTATATGTAATCAACATGATATTAAAATACCTATCCTTTTTTTATAAATATAAGTAAGCAATCACAGATTGAGCGAACATAAAGATTTATTAGTTTTCAATGATTTAAAAAAAAATCCCAGACTAAGCAGCATTGTGTTGTACCTTGAGTTCTACTGATATTATTTCTCATCCTAAAAAGGGAAGGGGTAGGGGGTGATTTGAAAACTTACTATCTACCTAAAGTTATCTACTCACACTGAACAGCCTGGGGTCCTTGGTGTGTGGATGGAAGCCCTTCTTTTTACAGGCAGAAACTTCCAGCATGCCAGCATTGGTGAGCCTGAAGATGCCAGTGCTAAATCCCAGGACAAAAGAGAGGCATAAACATTCACAGTCAATTAGGCTGTCTTGATGCTTGATTCCAATGGTGGTAACGTGTGCATGCCTCACAGAGGTTGGAGAAGTAGGAAATTCCAGTGATTATTTAGGCCGGCTTGTGTCAACTGACCAAAGAGCCCACAGTGGTTAAGCACTCAATTGCTAACCAAAAGGCCAGTGGTTAGAGCCTATGAACTGCTCTGTGGGAGGAAGCTGTGGCAGTAGTCTTGTGCAGATCCCAGCCTGGGGAGCCCTCTGGGACAGCTTCATTCTGTGTGACCGGGTCCCAAGGAGGAACTAGAATTGACTGAGCAACTACAGGATTGTGCTTAGGATGGATGGCCGGCCAGAAGAAAGTGCCCCAGGGGAGAGGGCAGTGCTGTCCCCAAGCACTGGCAGGGCTGGAATGTGGAGGAGCTACAGCCCAGCTGTTGGGTGAGGCAGCATTAGAAAGACAGCCCCGGGGGCAGGAAGTAGAGGCCGGGTGCTGGGTATTTCCTCACACCAAGCTGAACACTGTTTATAACAACAGCAAACACTTACTGCTTGCTCTGGCACCAGGTACTGGGCTGTGCACTTCATGTAGACTAGGAAGTCCAATTGCTTGTGGGGGCCCAACATTAAGTGTTCAGCTACTAATACAAACCTACCAAGAGGCACCTTGGAGAAAGTGATCGGCAATCTCTTTTCAAAAGGTCACACACAGCTTACTCTATCACACAGCACTGACGAAGTAATTTTTTTTTTAAACAGGTCTGTTTGTTTCTGTTACACAGACTATCAGCTGTTCTCATTCTCACAAGTATGGAATGCGTACTGGAGTGGAAGATGCTGGAGGCTTGACTCAACCGTGGTCAGGTGTCTTTGCAAAGAACATATCCGAACCGGGAATTCTAATAGAAGTCTGATGCCTATGCTCATTACCTCAATAAGCTACAATGATCATTGCTTTCCCAAAACTCTAAGAGGTTTTGAAGGCCATTAAGTGGAGGCTGGATGATATCGTGGCCCAGTAAATAATACAACAGAATGAAGATTTTTCTAGAAGCAAACTGGAATAACTGTTCCCTTAAATTGTACCCACATCATGGTCATGCTAACAGAAGAAAGTGAACTAGTCATTCTACCACTGAAGGATTGTATAAGGCCAAAGACTCCAGAGCTGTAAGTACATGGACCTGCTGGCACCAACCTCTTTCCCAATGGCATCGTGTACCTGCCGCACCAGAAATTGGTATGTGGACACCTGTCAACCCAACAGTCCCAACCATGGCTTCCTGGGTGATGCGCCCATCAGTTACACTTACTCATTATGCTTTGGGGAGCAAACAATGGCAATAGCTTCTGGCAACATGAGCTGATAGGAACAGTGGGTGTGAAGATCCACACTGGATAAGAATGCCGTCTGGGTGGGATGTGTCTAAGGACAGAAAAGAGGGCAGACTTATTAGGAGCTGAGTCTTAGCCAAACACACACACACGCCAATTAAGGAGCGGAATACATGTTCTTCCAACCATCATTTGCTCAATTAGAAACATTAAAAATGCTTTGCGAACTTAACTCATCCATTCCGGTGAGGCATTTTCCTCGGGGTAGGTAGGTCTTTAAGAAGAGTCACCTGAGAATTTTAAGAGACATGCACTCTGTGATTGGTAAAAAATAAAGAGCTGGAAATTCATTTGCCAGAGATGCTAAATCGGTTCTCATTTCTTCATGCCCACTGAGACTCAGTAAGGATGTTCTTGCCTGTGGTCAGTAGCAGAGTCAGGACACTCTGGAACAGAGGGGCTTGGATCCAAAGCGTTTTAAGGAACGTTTCCATGAAACATGCCACGAGCTGTGAATCCTTTTGTAGGTCACTACTCCTTCAAAAAGGGGGAATGGGAATCTCCAACTTGCTGAAGGTGTTTGGGACCCGTCTTACACAGCTAAATACCCAGATGATGAGGTCACCTGTGCGAGGTTCTGGGCCAGCTACAGACTTGTGTTTATGGGACACAAATCAGAGATGCATGTATGAATATGAGAAACCCATGTGTTCACAACAATTTGAGATTAAGATTTGCCTTTAATTTGGCTTGAATGTGACCACTGTCATCATGAAATGTCCCAGACATGTAATCTCTTGGCCTGAATCCTGGCTCCATCATTCACTAACCGTATGACACCTTGAATCTCCTTGATTTCCTGTATATGTTTGTGGTAGTCACCTAATCTGGTGTCAGAGTATAGGGGTGGAGTCTAGGCTGTCAATCTGGAGATAGCCAATGAGACTTCTGTGTGGGCATGGCCTTCTGAAAATTCTGAGAACCCTGGTCTTTTCTCCTTGGAGGTGGAAGACACCTCTCTCTCTCTGCCACTTCCTGGGAGACATTGCAGAAGACAAGCCACATGGATGCAACCAGACCTCTAAAGCCGGAGAAGCCACAGCAAGACCCCTGCCAGTGCTGAGATGCTTACAACACAACTGGATCCAAAGACTTTCTACCCACTGGCCTGTGATCGTTTTGTGAGTCTGAAGAGGACTTTATAGATTGATTATCGGACATATGGGCTAATATCAGGCTTATGGTCTTGATCTGGACCGGGCTGGAATGTTTTCTCCATGTTCAATTGCTCTTGGATATAAGCAACCTTCTTATACACATATGTGTGTCTCTATGAATTTGTTTCTCTACTCTATCCAGACTAATACAATGTTCCATCATTTGTAAGATGGAATTAATCAAAGTATTATTGACTAATATTAATAATCATCTTTGAAGTGGGTCCGTTAGGAAGAATGAATGGGATAATCCATGTAAAAGTCTGAATACAAGTGCCGAGAACTTTAAAGAGAGGAGCCAACATGGCTAGCTGGTCTGGGCATAGTTCAGCAGCTGTTGATCTGATCTTTGTGTTGCCAGCATTAGCTAAGAGGCTGGGGCACGTGCTACTGTTGTGTTCGGTTTCCATGGAGTCAGCTCTGCCTCACAGTGACTTTGTGCAACAGAACAAAATGCTGCCCAGTGCCATTGTCATGACTGTGAGTCTGCCTGTGTCCACTGCTCGGGCTAGTGGGTCAATCTATCTTGTCGTGGGTTTCCAGGACAGGAAACAGAACACCTTTGCTTTCAACTGACATGCATTGAGAGTGACTTGCAATTAAATTACAAATTCTTGTTGAAAAATCAATGTTAGTGTGTCTTTTAGAAACATTTTCCCAAATTAGAGCCAGCAGTTTCTCCCTTATGGACATCAGTGTAGGTATTGTGTGCAATAATAAAATTAAATTATTTTACGTAATGAATTTGACCTAATTTGTGCAATTTCTAAGCACACACTTAGGCATATTAGCAAATAGACACATGGAACGTTTTGCAAACCCTCCAGTTATATCTCATCTCCCTGCATTTAAGAAGCAGTCAATGATTTTCAAAGGGCATCCACATCTAATGTCATGTTAATTACCTACACAAATCCTGGGAGGGAGAAAAGGCTCCCAGTAACCTCACTTGGCCAATGAGGGAACCTGGAGGCAAAGAGGTTCGTAGTCCTAAGGGGGTGCAACGTGAGTTAGAGGTGGGGTAGAGGCTAATGCCTCCCCTACACTTCCAAATTACATAACACCAAATGCTGACTGTATGTACATGCACACTCATATTTACGTAATCATTACTTATTACTCATTAGGAGACGGCCCGGTAAACCCTTGTGGCTAGCACCCTATGAGAGCAGGCTTACTTGTCCCTCCTCTAGGCCCAGAAGTGCAGGACAAAATGGAAAAATGTCCCCCAGATGGACTAAACCATGGTCAGAAAAAGTAGAATACCACCACCAGTGTAACATCGGCAACAACAGCTACAGTTTCTGAGTCCTTAGAAAAACGTGCTACGGAACTCTTACTTTATCTCATTTATTCTCACCATCGTATGGAGTCGGTAATTAAGATCTCTGTTGCACGGTGACAAAGTTTATGCTCAAATTGCTTTAAAAACTTGCTAATGTCACGATAGTGTATTTTTAGAAGAGCTGTGCTTTGAACTCATGTCCAATTGATTTGTAAGCACAGGTGTGTATTCCTATGATGGCCTAATGGACACTGGATCCCAAGGGCTTGGCCTAATCTCACTGGCCCTATTGTGTGGCTGTTTATAGTGTAATACACATAATTGTCTAAGCAAATTGGTTAAAAATCAAACATCTGGACTATCTAGTATACTCAAAACATGCCCCTCATGTCCAAATATTTCTATCTTTATCTCTTTTGGGGGAGTGGTAGAAAAGGCATATGATACCCTTGTCTACATGTAGATATGACAGGCTTACACATGGCACCTAATAGTGACAAAAATATTTTAAAATTGCAGAATATTACAAATAAACTTACTATATTCGTGCATAAGCCAAATTTTTCAGCACATGTTTTGTGGTAAAATTAGGTGCCTCGGCTGATATTTGGGTTGGCTTATACTCGAGTATATATGGTAGTCTATTAAGCTACACACACACACACACACACACAATATGAATCAATTACATGAACTGGAGAAAGAAAAGTCAGACATACGTGAATCCATCCCAGAGTGAGGAGATCGTGTTGGTCCTGAACACTGAATAAGTCTTCCACATTCTCCATGTCGCAGTAGTCTGGTCCTGCAGACTGCTTTGGCACTATTACGTGGGTAATAGTAAATTCATTATGTGTCTAAAAGAACAATAAGAATCTGACTGAAAAAAAAACCCTGAACAGAAGATGTTCAGCACTCTTTTGCTACAGGACTAGAGGGAGCCCCTAACAGCAGTACCGTCACACCCCTCCTTCCGCCATCACATCTAAAGCAATGCCGCAAACTCGAAGCTGGATGCTTTCAGGGTCTGTTGATTGGAACGTGGACTATATGTTCTCAGATATTTCATAAGTGTATCATAAATAGGAATTTGCATCCTAGGCTGGCCCATAGAAGCACAACATTATACCTACAAAGGAAAGGCTGAAACAAAGCAAGGCCAGGTTGATTTGAAGTGGGGACTTAATGGTCAAATACCATTTCTAAGGATTGTGGAAGGCTGGTGAACTGGTTTTTGTTTGGCTAATTACATTTCACCTCATGCCCAGACCTGTGACTTTTTTTCTTCTAATATTGAAGGGTCTCACTAGACTTGCCCATAATAGCAATGGAAAAGTGTTCTTTTAAAAATCATAGTTATTTTTACTTTGAGACTTATAGTTTTCTTTTCTTCTAATATTGAGCAATCTCACTAGGCTCTTCTGTGATTATAACAGAAAGGTGATTTAACCAATGTAAGTGAATTTAGAAAATTAAATATGCCATTTTTTTCTACTCAAAGACTTACGCTTTAATTAATTGCTTGAAAATGACTTCTATCATATCCTTGAATGTTTACAGTACTTATTTATAAAGATACTGCCAGTAATATAGACAGCAGTTTTGTGACCTTAATCTATGTAAAGTTTATTTTATATGACAGACAGTTCTTCACGTTTTGAAGCCAGTACTGTTAAAGTGCTGTGTGCAGAGGAGGGCGTAGGGAAGGCCTACCAGTTTTCCACAGACGATTCCACAGGTTTCCATTCCTCTGATTGTATTAGACTCTGCCAGCAGCAGAAATTTGTGGCAGAGATCCATTGGTAAGAGCACACATCTCAGTCCTTCCACCAATAAATCTAGGAAACAGAAGAAAGCAGAAAAGCTAAAGCATTAAACCTTACTTCAAATCTTACGTCAAAAGTATTGCTAGCCAGCAATTGTTGTTCAGACGCATCTCAAAAATGAAACTCTGTGTGTTGCCATGTTCCATATTTTGTGTTAAAGCTTTTGTAGTCAACCCTTACCCAAAAACAAACAAACAAACAAACAAACAAACACTGCCACCACATCCATTCTGACTCACAGCGCCCCGATGGCACAGGGTGGAACTGCCCCACGGGTCTCCGAGACTGCCACTCTCTGCAGGAGTGGAAAGCCTCCTCTTTCTCCCGGGGAGCTAGGCTGGTTGTTCCCAGCAGCCCAACTCAGAACCACTGCACCCCGAGGGTTCCCCCAAACTTGACGAGGAGGGAGAGAAAATTAATTCTGTATCGGAGAAACAAGGTGGGAAGGTGCAAGCACTTTTCCACCTCTGGCCCCTGAGTCAACTATACATACATGTGTACATTGTCTTTTGACATAAACGAATGTACTGCTAAATGCACAGATTGAATGGGATGTATGGCTCTTATGTTATATAAGACACAGGCTAAGTCTTCTTTTTTGGTGGTGTTTTACCATATGTTCCTCAAGGCTCTGTGAAAGTTGATCAGTAGGTACAATCAGAAGTTTTTCATAAATAAATAGCACGAGAGTAACTTGCAAGATGCTTGCCTTCTATAACTCTTCAGAAGTACATGGGAGCACACACTCCATTGGACAGTGTCTTCTGGGAAGCGTGCTTCCTATGATTTTGGAAACTTGCCAGCCCTAAGGGAGCACTACACCCAGTTGCACTAATTGCTGGCAGACACACAGAATCCATTTGGAGGTTACACAAGGGCCTCCTGGGCCAGAGCTGAAACCGGAAAGGAGGCTGTGCATAAACATTTCTTAGCTAAGCATAGATCTGAACTGACTTTTCCAACTTCTTTCCTCTACACCCCAACGGTTTTCCTTGAAACGACCATGTGATTCTTGGTTAGAATAGATGGAAGAAAGAAAAATGCTTGGGTTTCTTCTCTTGGTAAAGTTCTGCACGATGATACAATGCAGCCCTGTTATTATAGAGTACCAAGGGGCAGGTCACCTATACAGACAGCCCCTGGCTTACAAACATCTGCCTTACCCACAACTCGTAGATACGAACCAATCAATGACATTAAAAATTTGAGGTACATGCAATGGCTTGTAATTACAAATGGACACTGTTTTGCACCAGTATTATGTATGATTAAGTTAAAGATGTCTCAGTATATCTGGAAGTGTTTAATTTTTCTATGCATTGAAAAGTGTACTGTATATTAAGGAAAACAGCTGTCTGACATTAGATATGAACCACACCATACCGCACAGTTCTGCCTTATGTTCCAATTTGACTTAAAGACAGATTTAGGTAGAGCTCCTTTGTAATCCAGGGCCCTCCTATGTAAAAGCCTGGGTCCAGGGAGATGCCAACAGTCAAAATGCTTAGTTACTGAAAGATTGGAGTTTGAGTCCTCTTAGAACTGCCTTGGAAGAAATGTCTGGGAATCTATTAACCACCCTCCCCTCCCCGTCCCACATCAGCCATCAAAAAAGCCCTATGCCACCATGAGTCAGGCATTATTCAGGGGCAACTGGTTACTGTTAAAGAGCAAGCCAGGCAGCACTGAGAGGCTGGCTCTGTCACCCGGGCCTTATCCTATAGGGGGCCTGGCAAATGAGAAGAACCTTTCCCAGGTGCTGTGGGAACCCGGTGCCACAGGCAGGGTCCCTCTCGCCAGCAGTGGGGCGCTTCCCACTTACCCTGGACCGCACTTAGAGTGGCCGCCGGCTTCAAGGCCCTGTTCACGGGAGGCGAGTGGGCAGCCTGGCTGGTGGCGCCGCTCTTCTTCGGTTGCTCCACAAACACGTTCAGCACGGCGTTGTTGTGGTGCGTGGAGACGCAGGACAGCGAGCTTCCATCGATCTGCTCAGCCGGGGCGGCCGGGCCTTCCTGCCTGTGCATCTGACCTCGGGCTAATTCCTGCTTCTTGAGTTGATCTTCGAAAAACAGAAACTGCTCGGATTCCAGCTGCTGCCGCCGCATCTGCGCAATCCGCCTCCTTTCTGCCTCTATCAACCTCTGGTGCTCCAACTTTTTGAGAATTTCTTCTTTATATTTGTTCTAAAAAAAATAAAGTTGGTTTGTTTTTTTGTGTAACGTGGTTACCACAGGTTAGTTCCAACGGAAACATATCAGGTGGGAATGAGATGCGGTCTCGCTTCCTAGCAGGAAGAGGGCCACAGCTAGATGGCACGATACGCCCACAGGGATCTTTGCGAAGAAACAGAGGAAAATACACATCACCATCGAAAAAGTCCCAAGCTGATTAAGTCACCTCCAAGTGCACGCACGTTTTACCAGAGCCAAGTCATGGCATTCAGGACACTGCTCCAAGGACTGCAAAATCCAGGTCAGGGCTGTGGGCTCAGCCTGACTGGTCAGACCATGCGGAACAAAACAGCACAGACAGAGTTCTAGCAGCCTAGACCAGTGATTCTCAACCCGTGGGTCGTGACCCCTTTTGGGGTCGAATGACCCTTTCACAGGGGTCACTTGATTCAAAACAGTAGAAAATGACAGTCATGAAGTAGCAATGAAAATGATTTTATGGTTTGGGGGTCATCACAGCATGAAGAACTGGATTAAAAAGTCGTGGCATTAGGAAGGTTGAGAACCACTGGCCTAGACTGTACTTGCCAATCAAGTAGTTGCTAGCCAGGTGCACCTGTTTAACTACAATTTAATATGATATAAATTAAGAAATTTGATTCCCATTCACATTTTAAGTACTCATATCCATCCACACCTGGCTAGCAGCTATCACACTGGACAGTGTCAAACAGCGCAGTCCCATCACCTTAGAGAGCTCTCTGGGACAGTGTTGTCCTGAAACCGTTCCTGGAATTTGCCTCTAAACTCACACTGTGGGAGCTTTAGAGGGAGGGGGTGGGATATGTGCACAGAATCACCGAGAAATGGTTATCAAAATGTGGCCCAACCGTCTCTGCAGATGCAGTGGGGACTTGGGTTAAAAACCTGCAAGCTCCTCAGTCATCTCGGCATTAGTCCGGAGCCCATCATGTTTGCTCAGCTCCTCCAGGGATTTTGATGGAAACGAAAGGTCCAGAGCTACCATAAGACAGGAGTGGAACAGGGGAGACTGTTTACAGCTGCCCTTTCAGGAGCACATGGTCTTTCCAGTTCAGAATGCACATTCTGATTAAGCAGGTGTGGATGGAGTGTGGCCTGAGTTTCTGCATTTTTAACAAGCTCCGGTGCTGCCAATAGCTCGGTTTTGGGGCATCTCTGTTCATCTCTGCCTGGCATACTGATGCCGCACTCTCCCCACAAGAGATTCCACATGGCATACTCTCAGGGTGCCGTGGTGCACTGTGAAGTACAAGGTATCACCAGAGGCAGGTTGGTTACGTGTAGAATGCAGATTAGCTCACTAGGCTGTGCTCCCTGGCTGATGGGCAAGGCCTAGGATGTGCATTGCTGAGCACGGGAGAAACACTTGAACATGGGCCTGTCCCTCTGTTCCTGTGGCTTTGTCTTGGCTTCCAAGATAATTTCCACCTCTTTCCTTCCAAATCAAGCTGTCAGTATTAGACTTGTCAAACTTCAGGTGGTTAAAAATCCTTCATTCAAGCCAGTTTTCTGGTCATGCCCAGAGAAAGGAGAGAAGCTGGGAGAATGATCGCAGAGCTGGGACTCAACTGGAATGATAGTCAGCAAAGGTGACAATCTTTCAAAACAAATAAACCCACACGAGTAAATACATAAAACCTTTATAACCATCCTAGGAAAATATTGAAGGATTCATTATTTTTACTATGATTATCCTGCAAACAAAAGGGTCAAGTTCTTCTTGCAAGCTTTTCTGTCTTGTAGACCTCGTTATCACTGTCATTCTCTATTTACTAACAATTCACACGTCACCACCTCTTGGTGGTACCATTGCATTTCACCCATGTGGTCAGCTAGTCTTCCATCCCAATGCCATACTGACTGAATTTAAGATCCTCATTTTTGTTTTCCAGGCTGGTCTCATTGGGTACATCAGACACCACATACCTACTTCCTACTGTTGTCTATTCATCTGGCAAAGAGCAGCCACCTGGCTGGAGGTAACCTTGGCAAGAGTTGGACCAAAAACTCCATATCCATCACCATAGGAAGTCTAATTTTTAATACACCACTTTATTAGATGCACCACATCTTTGGTGCAAGTGCTTAACCCGGATGCAACATGAATGCTTTATTGGTTTTACTTCGCTGCATCTTTAAGGTTCAATTTAACTGCATATGACATTTGAAAAGCACAGCCTGGAATAACGAAGTTCAAAAAAGAGCTGCACAGAAAATAGTCATGAAACAAATGTACCCATTGGACTTACTTTGCTTTGCAAATATTCTTGGTATTCTATGTTATATTTCTTTAAAAGGTCCTTTTTCAATTCATCTGTCCTTGGGAATGCAATCTCCTTCAGTTTCTTTTAAAAATATATACACACGGTGATTAGTGGGGATTTTCGGTATGCTCTTTCAGATTCTCAGCTGAGAAAGAAAAACAGCTGCTATGTGTATTAGAAATCAAGTCACGAGTAACCAAAGATGATGGCAGAACAGAAAACCCCTTTTCTAACGTTCTAAAATTTAACTTCTTGGCAGGAAAGGTGTGGGGGTAGGGGGTGGGTGGGGGATTCCTCTTTATAAACCTTCCTTGGCTCCAAGGGTTGGGGTCAGGGTTTGGTTTAGCCAGGCACTCCAGTGCACCATCTATAGCGTACAAATCATATACTGCAAGAGAGCCAGATTTTTAAAAGGCAGCTAGAATAGTCCTTATAAAAATGCAGATCCCTAGGATGAATCCTAGGCCTAGGGAATCAATATTTCTATGGAATGGATTAGCCAATACAGATTTCCAACTTTCCCAGTGATTCTTAGCAAAATTGGTGAGTCCTGATGTTGTCAAACTATTTCTTCCCATTTTTTCTTTTATAAGAAATGAGGGAAGAAAGGCTTAGATTCAAAGAATTGTCCAGGGTTGGACTACCTATCAAGTGCACCAGTTAGAGCTAGACACTACCTAGGACTACTCCCCAGAAATGTCTACTCTCTTCATCTTTTGTCATTGATTTGTTCATTCAAGCCCTATATTTAAGCAACAGGAGACAAGGGAAACATATTTCTTGAGAATTTTTCCCCCTTACGAAGAAGACTAGTGCTGAATTAGAGCAAATGCATCACTGTGGCCACCTGGGTTTTACTATCCCAAGCAGGAGCTCTCTGGAGCCCAGTGAACATGAAAAGTTGGGGGAACTGGCATGGAAAAGCACAATAAGGACTCTTCAGGTGAGAGCACGTAGAAATCAAATACAAGCGAGGACCATTTGACAAAATTTGAGACCTTGGTGACAGGCAGTTGCAGATTTATACAAGGCAACCAGGGAAAAACAAACAAACCCCAAACCAAACACAGTGCCATCAAGGCAATGTGACTCGTCTGTGGCATTGAGTGGGTCTTACATAAAGTTGTTGTTGTTCTGGTACAGATAGGAACTGGAAACACAGGGAATCCAGGACAGAATAACCCCTCAGGACCAGTGGTAGACTAGAAAAGTGGGTGCAGGGAGACGCTGGACAGTGTAAGACATGACAAAATACTAATTTATAAATTATCAAGGGTTGATGGGGGAGTGTGAAGGGAGGGGAAAAGTGAGGAGCTGATATCAAGGGCTCTAGTAGAAAGCAAATATTTTAAGAATGATGATGGCAACAAATATACAAATGTGCTTGACACAATGGATGGATGGATTGTGATAAGAGTTGTACAAGCCCCCAATAAAATGATTTTTTTAAAAAGCTGTAAGAGCCTCCAATAAAATGATGCATTAAAAAATAATCATTAAGAAATAGTATGGAAAAAAGGTCGTTGTTGTCGTTGTTAGGTGCCGTGAGTCAGGTGCCACTCCTGGCCGCCCCGTGTGCGACAGGAGGAAGCATCGCTGTGTTGTCCTCACAAGTGTGATGTCCGAGCCGAGAGTTGCAGCCACTCTGCAAACCCGTCTCACTGAGGGTCTTCCTTTATTCCATCACACAGTAAAATCTTTCCTGAGTTTTTTTTTTTGTTTCATTTTGTGCTGCGATTGGCTTTGTCTACAGTGTTCTATCTTTCTCCATAAATCCACTCAAGTTATTCAAGATCAACAGTGGGGGAGATTTTTTAAAATGTTTATTTATAATGTGTACTTAGAATGTTTATTCATATTTTTTATGCTAAACTATTTGGAATTATATATGTCGCAAATATTGATGTACATTCGTATAAATACATTTCAACCATCTTCATTGTCCTTAAAGATGTCCCAGGCCATCCCCCAAGTAGTTTACTACCTGTAAGATTAGAACCACAAGAGGAAAATAACTAGAACCTTGTGCTCCTGTAATAATGAACACCAAAATTTCAAGTGCTTATTGAATTCATTCCAGGCTGCATGGAGAAATCACTACCATTTTTACAGGAACTACAAAATAACAATCTCAAGGAAGAAGGAGAAATATACAATTGCTCTTCTCAATATCTAGGAGGGGTTGTAAATAATTTCTCCTTGACATCATAAGGCGATTGAGCAGATGTTCAATCTTTTTTTCTTTTTGCTTCCCCACCCAAGCCCCAGTTTCGATTAGCTACCCCAGAGTGGTTTAGTCATGATGATAAAATGCCTGAGAAGAAATCGAAATAACGTTGCTAATGGAATGAATTTCCGTGCTGACACTCTCAAGAGGCTGAGAGAGAGGAGGCGAGGAAGAGAGGGTGACAGTAATGGAGACTGGCGGCACATCTGATCCCACAGGGGAGAAGCAGGCTCACAATACCGTCATGATGTCGTGCTTCTCGGGAACTGCACACTGCTGGTAATCCCGATGGTTGGGGAGCTTTTCTACAAACAAGCTGCAGAGAGACAGAAACACAGCATCAGCATCGTATGATTTAAGAAAAAACGGGCAAAAGAGTTTCTAGTAAAAAGCATCCTTCTAAAAAAACGATGTAGCGAAGAACATATTATTTAACATACCCTTCCCATCAGCTTTTCACCGAAGACCATGGCATTGAAGAAAAAAATAAAAGCCAAACCCATCATCAGTCTATTCTGACTCATGGGGATGCTGTGTGTTAGAGCAGACCTGCTCCATAGAGTGTGCTTGTCATTTTTATCGAGGCAAACAGCCAGGCCTTTGTTCCGTGGCACCACCGGGTCAGTCTAAACTGCCAAACTTTAGCTGTTTAATCAGACACAAGCCATTTGTTCCACCTATGTGGATCTTGTTTTGGCATTAAAAGCCAAATTCTACTGTCCAATCGATTCCAACCTACAGTGACCCTTATCAGGGTTCCAACAGACTGTTCCACTGGATTTCCAAAGCTGTAAACATCTGTGGAAGCTGATGGACTCACCTTTCTCTTGCGGAGGAACTGGTGGGTTTGAACCACTTAACTGGTGGATTGAACCACTTAACTATGGTCATCAGCCATGCTTAACCCCTTGAGCCACCAGGGAGCCTTTATGTTGGCATGACAGTGTAGTTAATTTCAGCCAACGGGGAACTGATGTTAGCCAGGGTTAAGGTCAGGGATCACATCATCTACACTTCACTGCCATCAAGTCGATTTAGACTCACAGCGAACCCACAACTGCCCCTGTGCGTTTCCGAGACTGTAGCTCTTTACAGGGGTAGAAAGCCTCATCTTTCTTCTGAGGAGTGCACAGTGGTTTCAAACCACTGATCTTTCAGTTTTCAGCCTAACACACAGAGCAAGCCACCCTGGCCTCTCTCAGGTCCTGTGTGTGCTACCTCCTTGATGCCATCCTACCTAGGAGTGCTCCTGGACACTAAGGAGTTCCTGCAAAAATGTCAGAGTTAGGGAAGATCAATGTCATCTCTTCTCACCATAGAAAAATGACTCAAAGAGCCACTTGTCGGAACTGGTAGCACCTCCTCTGTGGTTCACATTTGTAAATAACAGGGATGAGCAGAATCTTGGGTGGGACCGTTAGAAGATGCTGACTGCCAATCGTGAGAAGAGGCTGATTCTTCATTGCCTTGTTGAAGATCCAAAGACAGCGGAAGGGAAAGGGAGTCTCAACAGCAAACCGGGTAAATTGTTCCCAGGTAAAGGTAACCTGTCTTTTTTCTCCAGTGATATAGCCCCATCTTGTAGACTAGTGTTTCTCAAATTTGAAAATTCATGCGTAAAGAGGCTATGCAAATTATTAGTTGCCTAAGACTTCCTAAGTAGGATAAATCCAGAGCCATTTAGTGTTGAAAAGATGTCAGAGGAGGTCTCCTAGATGTTTTTTATTTAGATGGGGAACTGTGTCGTCCGTCTAACAAATATTCTTTCAATACCGTATATACTCGACTATAAGCTGACCCAAATATCAGCCGAGGCACCTAATTTTACCATTTTAAAATGTGCTGGAAAAACTCGGCTTTACACGAGTATATACGGTACTTAGTATGAGTCGAACACTAGTCTATAAGGCTGGAGGTTTGAATCCACCCAGAAGCACTGCAGAATAAAGGTCTGGAGATCTGTTGTTGTTAGGTGCCATCTGAGTTGGTTCTGACACTTAGTGACCCTGGCACAACAGAACGAAACACTGGTCTACTTTGGAAAAGTCAGCCACTGAGCACAGTTCAGGGCACCGTTCTTCTCAACACAAAGGGAGAGTGGGCAGGGTCACCATGAGTCAGAGGCAACTTTATGACAGTTGCATTTTGTTTGGATGCAATACTGACTCCTATGGCCTAGCCTCGAATCCTGCCCTTTCTGTGATCCCCAACTTGCCCCTCAGTGTCACCCCATCAATTCAAAACTTTTAAGCGTTGGTTGTATGTTCCAGGTGAGATAACATAGAACCTCAACCTGGCTGCTGCTGGCCCAAGGTTTGCATCTCCATGAAGGGAGAGAGGCACAAAATAAGAACTGTGACCGAAAGGGACACAGAGGTTAATTGTGCTAGCCCAGTAAGTGGGGACCTGAGATTCCCTATGCCTCATCCCGTCACTGACTTGGTTGGGTCACTAAGCCTCAGAGATGGTGTGGGGATGCTACTGAGCACATATTTTAGCAATGCAAAAACCTGACATTTCATCTTTTTGGAGACTGCAAAATTAGTCGGAATGAGAAAATGTTCTTGGCAGGCACATGACCCCATCAAAAATCACATAAACATCATTGCTATTTTTCTCATTTCAAAACATTCCAAAACAAAAGGCTTACGTTATAAACTTATTATAAAGAACAAAGGCATTTTCCAAATTCCCTTCTTCCAAATACACAGACGCCATCCTCTCCATTTCTACTCCAGATCTGAAGTAGCGGCGCGGCGTGATATCTTCGCTGATTGTAATATTACAACCAAGCTTGCTCAGGGCGCGGACTCGCTCCTCTGGGCTCAGGGAAACATCTGTATGGTCAGGCATAGCAGCCAACTTTTTCTGCAAAGCAAAATTGTGATCTCTGATTATTACAAGACAAGACTGTGGCTGAAATCATGGCTGTATTTTCTGTACCGGACACCAATGAAATCTACTCACATGACACAAGTGAAGTCCTCTTTTGTTGTTAAAGATCAAATCCATGATCTAGACACTGAAGAGACATATGTCTCCAGAACACCCATTTTTATCACAGTCGGTGTTCTTTTAAGTTTCACAGTGCTATTATGCGGCAGTCCCTCAGTACGAAAATGTTCTAGGGCATTTAAGTCATGGGTGGGCAACATCCAGCCTGGGGGCCACCTAAGTGAGGCCTTTGACATCATCAACACCAGCTAACATCACGGGCCTCACCAATGATCTGCAGTTCCAGCCATCGCATGACAGTGAGCTCATTAAATGTTTGACCAGCATGGCCCATGTATACCCTATTAGAAATATGTACATCCTGTTATAAATATCCAAATAGCCTGGCAGGGAGTATATGCAGCCTGTTCTCTATGCTCATAACCACGGGGCTTGGAAGATCGGCCCTCGGGTTAGAGAAAGATCTCCACAGTTCCAAGATAGTGATAACATCAAATGCACGTTCCCCAGGTGGAAAGGTATCCCCACAAGAGCCCCTCCCCATAAAAAAAGCTACTATCAAGATGCCTCCTACCAGCACCTGGCTGCTCCCTGTCTCTAAGAGCACTCAGATTGCTCTGTCCTTCCTGCTCAAGGTGCAGTTGACTCCCTCTGATACCTTTGATACTTATCATAGGCCATCCCCTGGTGAGCTCAGGGGACATCCAAGGTTAAGACACTGCCCATGCTTTTGTGGATGTGCCTGCTGCAGGTGTGCCTGCCTCACTACTCTATGTATTTGCTGTCAAATAAACTCATTCTTTTGTTCTGATTCCATCATTGGAGATGAGCCCGTTCCTCACTTTTCTGGCTTCTTTATTTTCCTTAATTGCACGCGCTGCTCCTAAGGATCTTCAACTGTGGGGCTGGACCCAACAATGGCCCTTGGCAGAAAAAAAGTTTCTCAAATAATGGGGAAGAGGCTCATAAAGGGACTCCTGCCATGATAAAGTTCCTGTCATTCTACCTTGAAAAGACTCTTGACAAGTGGCTTGATTTCAGTCACTATAAAGATTCAATTATTTGCCAGAATGCATCTTGTTAAATAAGAAACTTTTAGGATTCTTCACTGATGGTTCCCCTATTCTTCACTGAATATTCAATAAGCCCTAGAGAGATCTTTTCAAACATAAGAACACCTCCCCCAATTTTCTTCATTTTTTTTTAATATAAAGAGACTCAGCCCTCAACATAATAAAGGATCATGCTTTTAAGGACTGTAGAATACATAAAAACAATACCTAACTCAGTCGTGTCATTAATCGATCTTTTAATGAAAACAGAATCTATGCCCATGTGCAAAATATAGGCCATATGCATTTAAGGAATGATTCAGTTCAATAAACCAAACTCACAACCATGGAGTTGATGCCTATCCTCTAAAGACAGGGTGGAACTGCCCCAGTGAGTTTCTAAGAAGGTAACTCTCTAGGGAAGTAGAAAAGTCACATCTTTCTCTCATGTTCAACAAAAAGTCAGTGCTTTGTATCAGAGATCTAGAATTTATTTTCCTTCCTGTACAGGACCGAAAAGTAAATATTTTAGGGTTCATGGGACATGGATTCAGTTCTACTGGCGTGAAAGCAGCTGTAAACATTAGGTAAATGACTGTGTGCAAAGAACATATTGAGAGTGAAGTTGGTCTTTGATGCCATTGTTAGCTAACCCGTTTAACCCAGTGCAGCTCGCAGTATGCTTTAGGTTCCTGCAGCGAAACTGCAAATGTTGAACAAATCCCACCTCAGGCTCTTGAGGAATGAGAATCTCTCGGGTTGGCCCAAGAACTATGCTTTAACTAAAACAAAGTGGTGTCTATGCATGCTAAAATTTGAGGAGTAGTGTTTTAGAATGTCATCATTTGAATCTTTCTTTGGGTGCCAACAACAGTTAAGTATTTTACTAGCAGCAAGGTTGGCCGTTTGAAACCACCACAAGATGCCCTGAAAGACAAGCTTGCTGATCTGCTTCCGAATGTTCACTTTTTGAAAACCCTATAGAGTAATTCTGGGCACACTTGGGGTCACCAGTGTGTGATCTACCCCTTAGGAATTAACAACAATCATTGACCAACCAAGGATAGATTTAGCCTTGAGCTTACTTAGCTTCCTGAGTTCTACTCCAGCAGTTAAAGGCCCATTGAAAGTCAGACTGCCCGGTGAACAGATTATTTGAATATGGTCCCTAGAAAGCTGTCGAAGAAATCCAGGTAGACATAGTTACTGACCCAACCGTCGGGGGCACAGTGCAATGCATTGGCTCTTTGGCTTGAACTCCAATGCTATTGGGGTTACTTTGAAGGCAATTTTACAGCAGATAGAGATATCTGAATTGGCTGTTACTCCTAAAAGCCAGGGAGCAATAAACTTGTTTCATAACTGTATATTAAATCAGAACCAGGGATGCCTCTAGCACCATCACGTTTTCTTTCTCTTTTGATCTGGCTCTGAGCTAGGTGGTTGCGGCCTCCTCTCATGTCTCCCTCCACGAAGAAGCTCCCAGTGCCCGCGCTTCCTTGCCTTGCAACTCCCTGCCAGTGAGCCGATTCCGACTCGTAGCAACCCACTGTAGCGTTTCTGAGGCTTTGGAAGTCTTTAAGGGGGCAGACAGACTCATCTTTCACTCACAGAGGGGCCTGTGGGTTTGAATCCCTGACCTGGCTGTTCACAGTCCGGGGCCTGTTCACAGGCCCGAGCGGTGGGGAACCAAGTTTCCTCTATTTTATTTCTCCTTACCCGGCACCCTGCTTCCCAGAAGGCCGCCCGCTCTGCACTGCAGCACAGAGTTGCAGAGAACTGCGATGAACTCGATGGGCATGAGTTTGTTTCTCGTGTTTCTGTATGCTATTTGGTTTGCTGGCTCACTGAAGCAGAACACATCCCCACAGTTTACTTCATGCCCAGTAGCTTCTTACCCTCCAAATGGAGAGGCCTTAATATGGTAATAAAGGAAAATGACTAACTTTCTCCTTCAAGGTGATTTAAACTGTGATCTTAAGGAATGCTTCATCACTGCTGTGTGCTTGTTCCTGTTTTACCACTTACAAACCCAGTCTTGCTATTCTGGTAATTCTCTGAAGGAATTTCCAATTTCATAGAAGCTACTAGATATTTTTCCATCTCTCTCTCTCTCTCTCTCTCTCTCTCTCTCTCACACACACACACACACACACACACACACACACACACACACACACACACAGAGTGTGTGTTGTTTCCAGTTGTCATAAGTCCCAAGGTATAAATACAAGGCTGTGGGGCTAGACAATGCGCCACATTCACACTTAGGAGCTGAACTAGGACCTAGAATAAGCCCACCTCGGGAAACAGGGCGCAGCCACCCTTCGCCGTCACACACGGCATGTTCGTGGGGAGCCTGGGGCTAAACCATTCGTAGACCACCTGTTTCTGGGTTGGGGTTCCATACAGAACAGCTCCCTCGCTAAGATCTATTGAAAGTCAGCCCTCCACACAAAGGTTTTGTTTTCTTTTGTTATTAGAAAGAAAAAAGAAGAGGAAGAAGAAGAAGAAATCCACCTGACAGATGGCACAATCTGATACGGTAGTCAGTGTCACTGAACTGTACATGGAAAATTGTTCAATCAGTAAACGTTTTGCTACATTTATTTTTAACACCATTCAAATAAATAGCTAAGACCACTGATCCCAACGCTTCTGTTACTGCTTCCTCTTTTGCACAGTTTCCCCTGGGGGTAACATGTTCTTGAGCAAAAAGGGAAAAACTGAACCCTTTAGGTATGCATACCTATACGACTAGCACCCAAGGGCGATCTCGAGGTATGAAGAATGAATGTGTATTTTTGCCTCTGTCGTTAGCACAGAAGGAACAGTTCTGCTTTTCATCCTCCGAGAAGCTGAAGCGCAGGGGGTCATGCGGCCGCTGCCATGGCAGCACGACCTCCTTTTCTCCAGTCGGATCCAGCCAAGCCAAGGACAAGCACACACTTTGGTGGCAGCAGGTACCCTGAGCTTTAATTTTGGCGAGGGCGGTTTCATTAGTCACTTCCTCCAAGGAGGCAGTCACACAGATGTATGAAAAACTATAAATGCTGAACTTCCTGAAGTACCTCTGACTCATTTCACATTTGGTGCATTTCTGTTCTCCTTTCTGGGGCTTTCCCACCATCTGTAAGTTGCAGTTGGCACTACCTACCAGGGAGTTCACAGTGAACGGCTGGTCCATGGTTTCCTGTCTACCGATGGAGGTGTTCGCCGTGTCTCTCAATCACTTCATCTGTTTCAAAGGGAAAAAGCAGAGCGAGGGTTATAAACCGCATCTCAAATCCCCAAACTCAGGGTCTCACCACCTCAGAAGAATATGAGCAAATAAAAATGATTTACATACTTCAACCTGAGATTTGAGAGAGACTGTCGGTCTTGATACCTAATAAAAGCAACAGCAGCAGCAACAGCATTATTATTATGTCATATGGATAAAATTAGTTGTTTGGATATTTATCCAAATATCATATGGATAAAATATCACATTGATAAAATTAGCTACCATATAAAGTGGTTAAAATAACTGGTTTCTGATTCATAGTAACATTATACAGGGTATAAGAGACTATAAATCTTCATAGGAGCAGATAGTCTCATCTTTATCCTGAGTAGTGGCTAGTGGGTTTGAACTACCAACCTTCTGATGACCAGTTATGTACCATACCAATGTTAGGTACCCATTGATGTTGAGTCTTATCTGGCCCTGCATGTTTCAGGGTAAAACTGCACTCCATAGGGCTTCCAATGGCTGTAACTATATGGAAGGGACTCTGTAGCACCACTGGGTAGATTTGAACCATTAACCTTCCAGTTAGCAGCTGAATAAAAACTGTTTTCTCCACCCAAGGAGCTTCAAAATTATGTTAGCTATTATTTGGATATTTATTTTGCAGTGGAGGAAACTGAGGTTCAAAGAAGCTAGGTAAATGTGTCCAAGGTCAGGCACTGAATACTCTCAGTGTCCTTCCCTTTTACGCTAGTTTCGGGCGAGCTCTGTGTCACCACCACTGTGTTCTTCTACATCTATTCTGGTCTTTCTACCACACTCATTCATTATGTGAGTTTGCACATCTATCTTCCCTCAATTCTGCAGTTATGAAATAAGGGGAAAGCTACATTCTTCTCAGAGCTTCTTTGATTTCAGAAATCTCAGAATAAATTGTGGTACAGAGAATTGCTTAAAAACCAAACAAACTCACGGCCATTGAGTCTATTGTGACTCACAGTAATCTTATAGGACGGAGTAGAATGGCCCATTTGTTTGCCAAGACCACAGGTCTTTCCAAGAGTAGACAGCCTCATCTTCCTACCTTGTTGTGACTGGTGGGTTCAAACCACTGACCCCGTGGTTAGCAGCTCAATGCATAACCCACTATGCCACCAAACTGCTTAGCTATGGCCTTTCCAGTCATAGTCTCTTCACTCCCATAACATAATTGGATGGGACCACGCAAATAATTCAAAGGCTTTAGGTTTTCTTAACCTAAAGAAAACAAAAATCCTCACAAATGGACCAATAAGTAACATGATGATAAAGGAAAAAAAGGTCAAAGTTATCCACAGAAGCAGCAATCAAGAAAGTAAAGAAGAGTTTACACCGGGCAAATCAGCTACAAAAGATCTAAAGGGTTAAAAAGCCAAGATGCTGTCACTTTGAGGACTCAACATACACCAGCCTCAAGCCATGGTATTTTCAACTGCCTCAAATGTCCACAATTGCCTCAGAAAGACTCAGAAAGAATGGACACATTAGAATGATGGCATTGGTGAAGACTACGAAACATACTACAGACTATCAGATAATCTAATAAACCTGTCTTGGAAGAAGTAGAGCCATAAGGTTTCCTAGAAGGGAGAATGGCAACACCGTCTCACGTAACTTTGGACATGCTAACAGGAGGGACCAGTCCCGGGAGGAAAACATGATGCTTGGTAAAGCACAGAACCAGTTTAAACGAGGAAGGCCCTTAAAGAGATGGCCTGATACAGTGGCTGCAACAATGGGCTCTATTGGGACGCGGAGTCCCCAACACTCCAGTGGGTCCTCAGGTGATGTTAGGTAGCTAAATTCAGGGACAGGAGTTTGTCCCTGCCAGGCCTGCAAAGGCCCCCATTGAGGAGGTTGGGAAGAAATCAGGCGACCATAGACACCTGTGAAGACCCTAAACTGAGCATGCTCCAATTCAAGTCCCCCCACCTGGTGGGAGGTACACCTGGGCGGTCCAAACTAGGCCCAGGCTCATGACCTCACCCAGGTGAGCTCAACCCAGCCAAGGGGGTCAACTAATATCATCAACCTTGCCTCCCCAGCCAGAGGTTTGAAATATCCTGGCTGCGGGAAGGCCGCTCTCTTTTACCCTGCTCCGGGTCAGTGGCAGGTTGGAGGCTGAGGTCTCCCTCCCTGTCACGACCACAGATGCACCCGCTCCAGGACTAGTTGGGGCCCACAGCCTCTGGGCCCACATGCTCTTAGCCTAAGGTGACCAGACGTCCCATTTTGGTGGGATAGTCCCTATTTTTGGCATTTATAAAAAGTACCAATTTTTGGAAAGAATGCACGACAAGCTAGGGAATGGTCCATTCGGTCCATATAGACCAAATTTTTAATCAAGAAACACCCCCTCCCCCCGGTCAATGGTGTCCCGCTTTATATCTGGTCACCTTATCTTAGCCTCTAGGGTTCTAGGAGCATGGCCTCTCAGAAATCCCCCCAGTTTCATACGTGTGGGTCCCAAGGTGCAGTTTTCCACAAGGTTGTTCCGTCCAGTTGTGAACCCCAGCACGGCTTCTGCATGGCTTGGCACGCTTCCCTGAAATAGTGTGTACCCTTTTGAGACTGTAGAACCTGAAACTTGTTCGGTCCTTCATAAAAACCCACTTTGGATTACACAACTGGCTTTGGCATGTATTCTTTCACTGTGCGAAGACAAGAGCTGAGGTCTGACCCACTTGAGAAACCTTATAGTGCAACTTCGGGATTACAGAAAATAAGACAGACAGACCATGGGGCACAGGGGCTCCTCGTCCCTGTCAGGACTAAGAGAGTGAATGTATTTTCCAATGGGCATATATAATGGGGCTTACAGTTCTTTCAAAAGGCATGCACATCCCACAGCAAACATATTACATAGTCACTGGGTAATGTCATAAGCAGGTAACATAATAAACCAGCAATGAGGTGAGTCATCATCTTGACCTAGTGCTAGTTGACCTCGGGTGCCCCTGCACCCTCTCCAGGGGTTTGCTACATTTTACGGTGGTTTGGCTATAGGACTTGATTGCTTTTATCTGCAGATAATCTTCAGGCATAGTGAAGGGGAATAGGGGGCACATTTTCTGCCAGGAGAATGTATATTTGAATAGTTCTCTCAAAACAATGGAGATCTTTCTTAAAATAGGGCTAGTTTTCCATGCTGGTGGTTGTGAGTATAGAAATAAGGCCAAATACACTCTACCAAGTCCTCACTTTACCACAAGACTCACCCACAGCAATGATGTCAGGCAGGCACAGGACCAGGGAATGCTATGTTCTGATGTACACAGAATTGCCATGAGTTAGGACCAACTCCATAGCACTTAATAACAGTGACAAGCAAATAAAGTGTGTCAAAATCTTGTAAGATTTGAACAGCAACCATGCAAACAAAGTGCCTGTGACCCACAAAGGGGATCGCTATGGCATTTGGTTAAAAAAGAAAAAGGAAAAAAGTTTTGCTATCCCATTAGGTTTAACAGCGCCAATCCTACAGAGGTCGGGGCATTTCTCTACCATCAAGAAGAAAAGGCAAGAGTAGAGTATATCCTTTGAACCAAAGACCTGAGGTTTCCAGGGATAAGAACCTCCTAGACCCAGAATGAATGAATGAATAATGACGATATCAAGAGACCTTAGCAACGAGCCTGTTGGCGTCTTCGAGTAGAAGATTCAAATAGAAGGTCTTCCTGGTGGAGCTAAAAGCACTCTCACACATGCACAGCCCTGACTGTACACAGGCTGTCTGAAGGATCTTGTGTAGGGGTCTTTCGACTGCAGGGTGGGCTAGATAACCCAGAACAGGAGGCTTGCTAGTGGAGATAAGAGTGACAAATATGCCTGGTGCAGGGCACAGGTCCCTCTCCCTGAGTTGCAAAGCCCACGTCGCAGGCAGCAAGAGAACGTTGCTTATCTGGGTAATGTGGTGGGAGCCAGCACCAGAATATTCGCAGGAATCAGAGGTAGAGACTTAGGAGATGCTAGACTGGGGTCTTCTGGCAGGCAACAAAGCCCAGGTGAGTCCCCAAAGCAGAACAGAGACCTCAGGAGCCATGGAAGCCTCCCTGCCAAGCATCATGGTGGTTGCCAGACAGAGGTGACATGACCACTGCATCTGGCCGGAACCACAGTGCACCTGCCCAGCCACTGACTAATGGTCATGGTAATTTGGGGAAGGGGAAGTATTTCCCTTTGGGGGATCTGTTATAGTTTCATGTTTGCTTCCTTTGGAAAGCACAGATGGCTTTAACTTTGACAGCACAGTGTGTGTGTGTGTGTGTGTGTGTGTGTGTGTGTGTGTGTGTGTTATCCAGCTACATCACAGAATAAGAGGAGCATTCACTGAATGGGTGATGCCAGTAGGGCTATGTCTCTCACGTCTGTCAATCTAACCTGGTAGTTCGGGGCAATGCCTGCCAGTATTTGCGATGCAGATAAGCAGACAAGAAACGTACGCAGGTCAAGTCAACACTTCCCTTTGTCCATCTGCTCTGCCATGGTGCTGTAGTCTTTCTCTCCCAGCCTCTCCACAGCTCCCTGGAGTAACAATGAGATCCAAGTCCGCAGGTCCTAGAAATGACCAAGAAAGTAATGACCCAGCGAGAGCTACTCTCACAGGGTCGCTTAACCATTATCAGCTCTAGCACCACTGGATAGAGGCAATCCCACTGGAGAAACTGCGATTTTTCATTGAGAAGACAGAAACCAGAAAAAATCTGTGAGTCTTTTAAAAGAGTTGAGGAGACAGAACAAAGGTTTCTAGAAAGTGTGGGGGAGGAGAAAGGGGACAAGGGGACACTGGCCAGTCATCTATGAAGCCACTGAGTCCATTCGCATTCGGAGTGACCCAAGAGGACAGAGCAGAACTGCTCTGTACGGTTGCCAAGATGAAATCTTCGTGGGAGCAGACAGCCTCATCTTTCTCCCACGAGCGGCTGGTCATTTATTAGGGTCTTTTACAACTTAAGATTTATTTCTCT